AGGATTGAGTGGTATGCATGTAAATCATTCTTATATTAATTTTATTGAATTATTTTTTGTTTTAAATTTCGAATTTATTTTATTTACATATGAAGTGGTGTGCGTGTAAGAAAATCTGATATTTCACGTGAAGGGATACGAACAAAATGCAGTTCAGAAACTTCCAGATTTGCAAGAGCCAAGTGATTAATTGATCATTGCGTTCCATCGAATATATATATATATATATATATTAAAGTTTAGATGTCACATACGTGAATACGGTTTTGATATATATAATAGTCCTTAAATTGAACAATTTGTAAATCTATTTGACGGGTATTGACCAATGAGTTGATTTAATAAGTGACGCAAAGATCGGTCAATAATAATATTACAAACTGACGGGTTTTAGACCGCTTGTAAATCTTCAGTAAATGCTCTAGTTTAGCCTAACCCAATTGAATCCCTTGTTTTCTTTCTTTTGTCCTTTCGTCCCCTTCGTTATCAGCCTACCCCTCGCTCTAGCATCTTTATCCCTTCTCGAAAGCCTCGACCTCGGCCTTGCCCTAACCCTCTCTCGGTTTCGCCTAAGACAATCACCTTTGCACTTGAACCTTAGATAGTTGGTATCGTGTACGACGGGATCACGGGTTGCAGAGACACTGTAATGCCCGTTTTGGCAAATTATTTTTATTGTCGCAAATCTCATTTTGGCAAAACATCTTATATTTTGAAGTGAATTTCTATTTTAGAACTGACAATTTAGATTTCAAAGTGAATATTCATTTTGGTAATGATAATTAGACTTTTTATTTGAGTGCACTGAAAAATCTTACATCATATGAAATATTTCTTTGTAAGAACATATTTCAAGGTGTGCACTTAATTGTGCATGGGGTTTGTAGAGACAAAAATGCTTATATTAATGATTGACTTTCCATTTGAAAAATAAAATATGAAAGGAATAAACTCGTGCAATGTTTGGTGTAGCTATGGTGACAAACAATATTAGATCCAAAAATTAAAAAATATATAAGATAGATTATTGTCCACCTATTGTTATAACTCTGCGATTTTGTCAACTTCTAAATCAAATTCTATGTACTTATTTGAATAAACTTTATAATGTGTTGATTATTTTCTAAGTAAATATGGACATTTGTACATCAAAGTCATGGATGTATAACTGGCTTTATTTAGATAGAAAAAGGAACACCGATAAGATCTTGAACGGTGTAGAGGCCTTCGTGATTATAGCATCACAACTTTCATTTTACCTATCTAAGAGTAGATTTGGATGTCCATGCTCAAAACACAGGAATCAAGCACATTTAACGTCTGACGAAGTAAGATATGATTTATATCATTGGGGTTTTTCAGCCTGATTATTGAATTTGAACTTCACATAGGGAGGTTGACAATGCAACATTCAGCTTAGTTCCTTCGACGAGCTATGATCCTCCCCTGAATTTCACTCAAGTAGATTTGAAGACATTATCTTTGATGAGACAATGTTACTTTACCCGATTCAAGTGCAGGAAGAGACACGAAATAAGAAGACTCAAACTTTTATGATATATTGATTATTGCTCAAAGGTCGTTGTCGTAGAGATGCACTTCTCATTCTGAGTTATATGTAGCCCTTAGAATTCTAAAAATTAAAATACGTTTTGAGGGGCTAAGCGGGAAGAACCGCGTGATAGGGACCAGGAGCTGCTTGCTCGTGTCCTATACTTTAATTCTAAATCTCATTTATGTATAGAATTAGGACCAAGAGTGTACATATGCTGTGTTGTTTCTGTTTCTCGGATATGTTGTTGAAGCGACACCCTGCTTTTTATTATTTTATATTTGGCTTGTTTTACTGTCTTTCTTGCAAGCTTGTATGCTTGGATTGGCTCCATCGTTATTTGATCGTGGTTTGTTTGGGAACCTTGCGCTACAATTTATGCTCTTTAAGACCTAAAATTTTATAAATTTTATACAAAATCCTAAAAAAATTTTCAATATAAATTAAAATCCAGGATTAAAAGATTCGCGGCTTTTAAAACTTGCTTTTACTTCACTGCATGGCCTTCACGCCAGTTTATAAATTGGGTTGCATGTATGGCTATATCACAATTCATAATTAATACGGCCTCCACGCTTAGCGATAGATAAATGCATCAAATTATTATCTCCAAGAAGAAAGATAAAATAGCATATAAAATCACAAGAAATTAATATGAAAAGAAATAAATATCATGATAATATAAAAAATAAAAAGAGATTGGAAGGAGTACTATGTAATCAATTTTTAACTTCTTGCCTTATATTCTACTTCCTCTAGAGATTTCACTCATTATGACATGCATAAAAATTATTATTTATTTATACCATTATTTTTTTTATACACATTCTAATGCACACACCATACATATGCAAGGCCTTGAACTCAAAATCTTTTTGTTAAAAGACAAAGCTCTCGAGCACTAGGCTAATGTGTTTTGTATATGCGTACAAAATAATTGTTTAAAAAATAGAATTTATTTTAATAGCCTTCAAATTATAATAAACTATATTAGGGATAATAGGATTTACTGAGGAGATCTAGTAGTCTTTATACAAAATCCTAAAAAAATTTTCAATATAAATTTTCAATATAAGCATGGACTTGATCTATAAACACTAATATAATTTGTCAACTTTATAATGTCAGGTGATTGGGATATGTCAACATAACAAGCTCACTTGCAAGATTCTATTTAGCCAACTTATAGTCAATAGGTCAACTAAAAAGTAATGGGTTTTAAGTAGACAAATGCTTATAGTACATGTGTTAATGATGGAGAAGGATCAAATATTCTATTTTTAAAACTAGAGGCTCAAACCAAATAGAAGATGTCAAATAGCTAAAAATTATAATAATATGATTCAATAGATGGTTCATCACACTTAGAATAAATTTAAATGTGCGAAAAGTGAGAGTTGACAATTTAAAGGGCTTGAGAACCAAAAGCAATATGCATTGTAAATAGAACTCTACAAATCTAACCTTTAAAATGTAAAATTTGATAATAAAAGGCTTGAAGATTAGAAGAGGGTTTCATCCCATTCATTTTATAGAAGACACTCAATGATAAAAGAACAGTTCAGTGACATCTCAAGGCAAGAGGCATTATCCAAAAAATGTATCAGTTTTCATGACAATATTTCTTTTCTTACGCAACCAAAAGTCTAGGAGAGGGATGCAATAAATTTATAATTATATATAT